GAAACAGCTCTGCTTCAGTCTAAGGTTGCATTCGTCTCTCTTTCGTGGTTGCATGGCCTTAGTGCTTCATAGTCCTCCTGTGACAGCTAACTGAAGTTTTTTTATTTTTTTATTTTTTTCTCCCTCATTGGTTTTCTGCAGATGAGATTCCTGCTTACAATTAAATTTTTTTCTTAAGTGCTTGACTTAGACAAGGATGTTAGATCCTTAATGTGAGATTTTTTTCATATGTCTGAATTGCACCCTGTTCCTATAATTTAGTCTGCAAAACTATCAAATGGAGGATAGCAGATATCCATCCTTAATGTATTATGGATATTGATGGTTTTTGCTATAGCAGGATTTTGGGAGAGACCTTTTAGAAAAAAAACTGGTTCATACTCAACTTCCCATTGTTTCTGAATAATCAAAACTATGAATTTTATGTAATAGAAGTAAATTCTCATATGCATTTATTGTGACATTGGCTGATGTGCTCGCCTTGACAGCAAGGAGCTGATGTAACAACAGAAGGATTCTGGTGCAGAGGGATATTGAAATTTAGGGAAATTTGTGCCTAGTCTAGCTATCTGAATTGGCAATCTGAGAATGTGACTTGCAAAGATTTCCCATAAGCAGAACTCCTCAAAAGGAGTTAAAGAGGTTCTAGTACTGGTGTAGTGGTTATAAAGTGGTTATAAAACAGTGGTTATAAAACTATGTTGTCAAGTTCTGGTATGCTCAAAATTAACAGATTGTCTCCCAGTAATGGTGCTGACACTGCAGGGAGACCTGGAAGACTGGGCAGCGGTGGATGTCATCTCAGAAACCAGCTGAACAATGCTTTTAAGCTATTAAACTAAATGTTAGTTTGGTTTAACAGTCTAGATTTACGAAAGTAATTTTTTAATGTTAAGTATCATCACTCAGCATTGATAATGGAAGCTGAGGAGAGGTGTTTCTTTACAAGGCTCTAGCCTGAGTTCTGCAGCTGCTCAAGTTAAGCACGGCTGTGGGATGTCCTAGCTCGGAGTGGTTTCTGAATGACATAACTGAATGACATAAGTTTTTCGTAGGGATATAGTTAAGAAGAACAGGAGAAACGAGGATTTGAAGCAGTTTCTGAATTTTCAGTGGATGAAAACTCGTTAAGAGAAATTGCCCACTACATCATCTGGTAAACAGAATGAAGCAACTGAAAAGGCAGGCTGTGGGAGATTTTGGTAATCTAAGTTTTAGTTATCTTATTCACATTTCATGCGACTTTTTGGGGGGGGATGTTTTACAAAACTTTTTTAGGGGGTTGGGAGAGCAAACCAAGGAAATGACATTGTATTCCCTTAGGTAGGGGTGCATGCTCTACTCTGATGAGTTTCTATCTACATTCAACCACCCCAATTTCCAGGGAGAGGAGAAAGGGGTCCGTTCCTCACAACACTGCATCCCATGGCGCCAGGACACTACGTGGTCTCCAAAGAGTCTGTAAAATGCCCAGTAGATGTTCTACTGCAGTAGATACCTGAGCTATGGTGGCTTGCAGGTGAAAGGTATCTTTGCTGAAGCTCCAGTAAGCAGGA